TTCAACCCGCCCGAGTTGCACCGTCCGCTAGATTCCAAGGAACCTAGGCCAACAATTGGAAATAGTAATGTTGGTTCCATCCTAGTTGGCCCCATAAAATTATATGACAATAAGATAACACCAAAGTAGTTTCCGTACGTGTACTGTCATATTTATAAGTCATAGTTTATACAAGTTTGGATAATTTATTAAAAAAAAAGGCAGCCCAATGCAGGAGGCTCCCGCCACTGCAGTGTCTATTAACAAAAAAAAAACAGATCAGACATTTTGTATTAAATTCTAAGATGGCTCTATTTAGGAATTAAACATCATGTCTGCCCTTCCCAATATGCGTTTTCTTATCATTTGTATTAATTACCCAGCTTACTTATCCAAGAAGAAAATGCTTTTTTAAGGAAACGAATTCTCAAAACCTCCAATTATCAGAATTTTGCTTATACAAATTGTTCTTAGACAGTATGCATCATCATTTATTGACTGAAACCGTCTAATATTGGAAATGCATTTGTTTTAAAATATAATACCTTCCAATACTTGGGATACCTTATTTGGGGGCAGCAAAAATACAACTCAACTCAACTCAACAAAACAAAGCCTGCTACAAACAACTTTGTGTCAGCTATGTTGGAAATGATGCCGAGACAATTACCTTCACTTATTAGGAATTTAGGATACAATATAAGTGCATTTTGAAATTCACCTCCTAATTTAACATTAATAACTAATACTTGTTACTATAAGGTACTTCAAACCATGACTAATCTATGTTAACATTAACACTACTAAAGAATTGCCTGGCATCACATTCCTCCTGACGTGCCAGACATGGTATGATAAAAAGGCATGGGGAATGGTTGATACAAAAACTATCCAAGAGAGAAGGGTAGGTCTACCAAGCATGTTTGAGACATGATGAACAACCAGTAATTTTGTCTTGGTTGAAAGCATCTCCCTTAACTGCTCAGTATGAGGAACTTCATTTTCAGTCAAGCTCACAAACTTTAGGATCACACCAGTCTTCTGGGCTACAAATTGCCAAGGAACAATAGCACTATGATGTTCGGCAATTGTAAGTATTACCTGCAAAAAATGGTCAACTGTTCAAAATGGAAGTTCCAAGCAGATATGCCGCTTTAGCTCAACTTTCAAATGGAAGCCCTAAGGTAAGGGTCAGGTGGTCTCCCAAAAATATGTGAAGGAGTACAAGTGACCAAAAGATGGGACTACGAAAGCAAATGAAGTTTTCATATTTTCCCAATAAATATTAGCAAGCAAGTACAACTCATGGATCAAAATTTTGTTTCGATACATGATTCTGGCCAACTCTGAAATAGAAATAAAATTTCAAAAATATTTCGAAAACAGGATGAAAAAAGAAAAAAAAATTCATATAACACATCGAAACAACTCAAAACATTCAGAAACACCTCCAAAAAAATTTGATATCTAATCACTGATTTGTTTTGATCGTTTGATAGAAACGAATTTTCAATCCTTGATACAACCATCATTGAATAATATGATGCAAAAAGCAGAAATGATGTCAAAAAGTGAATGTCATCTCATAAGTCTCCTACTAACTCACATCGGTCTTCAAAAATTTAGGGTTCTTTTCCTTTCAAGTGACCCGTCAAATGACCAAATAGTTGCAAGGATTGCACAATTCCAGGGAGTCACCTATTTATTATGTGTCACATGGCTGGTAGCAAGCAAATGGTATCTCTATGGCTAGAAACAAATAATTGCATTTGTCTATATGCAATTCCCCAACAAGAAAGATCACAAATACAACTGCTAATATACAAGAAATCAAATGATTAACAATCAATATACACGAGGAATCAGGTTAAATCTGCTATCATACAAATGACGAAAGCTAACCTAAGAAACTATAGAGCTTGAGATCCTAACATAGAGGAAAAAATTATAATTGGGTGAAGTACAAGAGAAGCATACCTCATCTCCAGGTTTTAGATTTGAAAGTCCCCAAGAGAAAGCTACTAGGTTAATAGCTTCAGTAGCATTTCTGGTAAAAACAATCTCTCTAGAATCAGATGCATTGATGAAAGAAGCCACTTTTATCCTTGCAGATCCATACTCATCCGTTGCTTTTGCACTAAATTCAAAACAATGGTAAGATTACTTGGACATAATCAAATATACAACCAAAAATCCCTTCCCATTACAAATAGTATATTCAGTGTACAACTTTAAGAGACATTACTACTCTAAATGTCTATGAAATTCCACTGATGCCTCTTTAAAGTTAAACGTTATAAACAATAAAAAGAAAAACAACATTAGTGACTAGAGAGGGCAGTAGCAACACAGAAATATTAGGCCAATAATCTATGAAGCACAGACCGGTGGCGTATTCATGTTGGACACTAACACTCTCCGGACGTGTCCAATACTATTTTTTTTTGTGTCCATAATTAAATGATAAAATTTAAATTTCGAACCATGTCTGACACTTCTTTAGTTCGGTTCTACTACTAAACAATAAACAATTATTGACCTACTAGTAACAAAACTTAAAAATTAGGCTACTAAATATCTTATAGCATATAATTACCAATACTAAACATGTTAAAGTTATACTTAAAATATAATAACAAAAAAAATGATACATTAAAGATTTAGAAAAGAGCAATTGAGAAAATGAGAACAATCGTTTAAATTATATATGTTTAGTACACGTCCACAAAACATTGATAATTATTAACTATTATGATGTTAATCTAAAAATTTAAACTAGATGACTAGTCATAATATTTACTTATCATGAAGTACTATCATTATCACTATAATTGTGATAGATTATATGATTTTATATATAAAACATAACAATCTATATCGTATCCCTAATGTGTCCGTGTCCTACTTTTTGAAAAATGTTGTGTCGTATTCGTGTCCTGTATCCGTATCTATGCTTCTTAGCTAATAATAATACTAGCAACACCAATTATTGAAACAATCCCAACAGCCATGAAAATACTGATCTAACAAAATTCATTATAAAAGTATCAATAACAATGAAATGATACCAAGAAATAATCAAAATATCGTTTCAAACCGAAACATTTTCGTTTCCAAGGCAATCAAAATAAATCAATAATTGAATCGAAATTCTTGGGCTTCGAGATATTTTGGAATGTTTTGAATTGTTTCGAGATGCTTTAGCATGTTTTTAACAATATTTTAGAATATTTTGAGGTGTTTCAATATATTTAGATATATTTAAATGTGTTGAAAAGTTTTGAAAATAAATTTCTAAATTATTTTATCCATTATGTTTTTGAAACGTTTCCAAAACATGTTCGAAATGTTTTTGTTTCTTATGTGGCCGAAACAATGGGCCGAAATAATATTTCGATCCTTGATACCAAGAATGATATATCATATTAACTAAACACTGAATGACCTTCCACAAAAATAAAATTTGAGTACCTCAAGAAATGAATGCCACGATGGACGTTTGAATTGTAGGCTTCATAATATTTCTGCAAAGCCTTCAAGACAGCAATGGGTTTCTGAGAGGTTGCAGCATTGTCTAAGTATACAAGTTTTGAGCCATTTACCTCCTGCAAAATCATGCTAAGACTTAGAAAATGTTATATTTCAACAATATGCATGGAATAGACTTCTATTAAGCAAAAAAAAAAAAAACCCAAAAAATATAATACCCAAATATTTGTTACACTTGGAAATTGACTGCCTTTGGCATGTAAGTTAAGGCCCCACATGCTCCTATCATTATTTTTTGCAGAGGGTGGGCATAGGGGAGGGGAAGAGGACTGATGAGTTAGATATATCAAGAACTTTCAAAAGTAGAAATTGGCTGTTTTTGGAGAAATTCAGATCAACCAAACATGTTTTTCTTTCCTTCCCTTTCTTCGTCTACTTCTTTCAGGCCGGTACAACATCACAATGTGCAGTTATGCTACCTTTTTTGGCAGTTTATTGCACACATATAAATAAGACAGCATAAAAAAGACTTGAATTGTGTGTTTTCATGTACACATGACTTGGCAATAGATTGGATTTTACAGATAAGCAGAAACTGAAGGATATACCCTTATCACATAGAGTAGTGCGTTTTCATGTACACATGACTTGGCAATGGATTGGATTTTACAGACAAGTAGAAAACTGAAGGATGTACCCTTATCACATAAATTAAATAAATATCAACCAAAAGGAAAAAAAAATAATGCCCGAATCTCGTTATTGCATTGCCTTATAGAATCTCCAACAAGTTCCTTCAAGCCCAAAGATATTCTTCAGCATCTGCTTCATTTCCCACCAAACCCTAAAAGCTCCTTAGCAAATGAGAAAGAAGGGGGGGTGAAGGATTACAGGTTCATAAGGTTTAAAAATTACTTACAATTTGTCAGTTGAAATTTCCAATTATAAACAGTTTGGCCCCACCCCCAACTTTTTCCAGCTTTCAAAATTGCCCCAAAACCTGTACTAAGGGTTTGTCCCTAAAACCTACTTTGCGGATCCATCCTGATTGTGAATGACCTATCAAGTACTATAGTTTTTCAATGTCTGGCTACTTAACCTCCTAATGCCTCTTGCAACCAATGAAGTAACTTTCTAGTGGAAAACTTTATTAAAGACATGCATGTACTAGATTCTTTTCATTCTCCATACTATAAAGCATGCACCATGTCCAAGTGGAACCTTTTATTTTCAAATACATCCTTCCCAATATGTGAAGAATGACCTTGAATTGAGGATGTCTAATACAGTACAGGTAGTGATGGAGCCATGCTTTAACCAAGGAGGGGTTTTAAAATTATTCTTTATACCTTTTAAATTGGCACCCTCATTTCAAAATTTTACTTTAAGCTCAAAGTTATGTTCTAGGTTTCACTTTACATTGTCAATCAAGTTTTTAAAATTATGCATTATATCCATAAATCATGGCCATGATTTCATCTTACACCTTGACTATTGATTTAAACAGATTATACCATAAACTATTCAACATAGGCCCTGGACTATTTTGCCAGAAAAGTAACAGTTTATGGAAAACCAAAATTCAATGATTCTTTAAAAATGTCACTAACTTAAATGGTTAATAACTTAATGGTATAATGTGTTCAAATCAATTATTGAGATGTAAAATAAAATCATCATGTCTTTCTCTAGGCATGGGGAAATTTAGCTGAACTCAAGTGATAATATGATGAAATTAAACTAAAAGTGTTCATCTTTTTATGGAGTGTCCTGAAATTAGTTTGCATTTATTTGATTTATCAGGTCTGGATTGCATTTCTTAAAAGTGAAACTAAACATGACTACCATTTAGTGCGTGAAAATTTAATTTGATAGATTCTAAATATAAAAATCTGAGAATAAAGATAAATCATTGAATCATCCTATTGAAAAAGCTCTGTTTATGCCACTATTTGGCCCCCTTAGGAAAAAACCTTACCTCTTTCCTGGTTAGCAGTATCCTAATCCATTTTTACAAAACATTAAAAAAATGTTGCACAAAATCTATAGGATAGGATCCAAAGATCCTGTGAGAAATTGATTCACTTCAAGGGGAATTGTCCTCCAACTTTTATTAAAAAATTTCTGTCCAAAAACAATTTTCAGGATGAAATAAATAGAATAGACCTTCATTTAGACTCCTACTAACTAGACTCCTTGCCAATTACAACTATTGGCTCAATAAACTCCTAATCTGACCCAATTATTCATAATTTCTATCCCCACAACTATTTTAAGATAGAAATCTCAAACCTAAGAAAAGAATAAAAATCTAAAAAAATAATCATATGTATAGGTGTGCAGGTGGCAGCCCTTACGTAGGATGTGCCCAACATCCACCCCAGCATAAAATCCCATCTTGTCCTCAAGTTGGAAAAGCTGGAAAATGAGTAACAAATTCTGAATAATCCTCCCAAGTTACATCAATAGCAGAAAATCCAGTCCACTGGACAAGGGCATATAACCGGCCTATTGTTGCGCCTAAACAAACCACGATCCAAAATGCGAAGTGGCTACCAAGTAGTAACGCCACTATCAGAAATGGGAAAGAGCTGTGGACCTGGTTGCACCATCTCTCCAAGTTTCTTTTTGAGGCAAGAAACGTGAATAATTGGATGGATATGACATTCTATCGGCAAATCCAGTTTATAAGCGACTTCTCCACTGCGTGAAAGAACACGAAAAAGGTCCATAAAATCAAGGTGAGAGCTTATATGGGCCGCGGGGCCCATGGAAATTTGTCGATATGGATGAAGACTGAGAAAAACCCAATCTCCCAAACAAAAAGAGTGTTCGGTTCGATGACGATCAGTAAAATATTTCATGCGAGACTAGGCAGCAATTAAATTTTCCTTGAGTAGCCGCAGTATACTATCACGATCGCGCAAAGCAACATCTATAGAATGAACAACAGTAGTGTGGGGAAGGTATGAAGCAATGTGCTATGGAGGCCGACCACAAACGCTTGAAAAGGCGTCATTTTCGATGAAGGTTGAAAGGAAGTGTTATACCACCATTCAGCCCCTGGTAATTACTTTGTCCAACCGGAAGGTTGTTGGCTTGCAAAGCAACGCAAATAAGCCTCAACGGACCAGTTAACCACTTCAGTCTGCCCATCTGATTGGGGATGGTAAGCCGAACTTCAACAAAAAATAGTGCCCCGCAATTCCAAAAAGGCTTCCCAAAATTGACTTGTGAAAACAGGATCTTGATCACTAACAATGGATTTGGGCATCCCATGTAAATGTGCAATATCCCAAACAAAAATTTCAGCCACCATAGTTGCTCAATAAGGATGCACAAGTGCACAGAAGTGGGCATATTTGGATAGTCGACCAACTACAACTATAATAGAAGTTTTGTGAAATGAAGGAGGTAAACCATCAATGAAATCCATAGAAATACCGGTCCACACTTCCTCCAGAATTGGTAGAGGTTGTTGCAACCCAGGTGGAGAGATACTTATAGATTTATTCCATTGGCAAACATCGCCCTCAGCAACAAACTTCTTAACAGCCCTTTTGAGACCTTTTCAATAAAAATTGTGTTGGATGTGCTTATAAGTCCGTAAGAACCCGCAATAACAACCAATTTGGGAAGCATAGAATTCCCACAGAATTTTGAAACACCAAGGAGAAGAAGGAGGAACCACCACACGCTCTCTATAACGTAAAACACCATCACGAAGAGAATAACCCGAATCTGTAGACACACCTTGTTGTAAGCATTGTGCAGTGATCTCACTGATAGCAGAAAAAATAGGGGAAGAAATAGCAGTTAAGGTAGATTCTTCAGGTTGCCTAGACAAAGCATCAGCTGCCTGATTTTTTACTCTCTTTCGAAACACTATCTTATAATCATATCCTAATAGCTTGGTAACCCACTTTTGTTGCTCAAGCGATGAACATGTTGATCCATAAAAAATTTCAAGCTTTTATGATCAGAAAGAATTGTGAAGTGACGACCTAATAAATATGTCGCCATTTGTTCACTACAAAGACTATGGCAATCATTTCTCTATCATAGACCGAGAGATTTAAATTTTTCCCAAACAAAGGCTAAGATTGGGCCTTGCTATATAAGAATGACACCAATTCCACTACCTGAAGCATCGCATTTTAGAACAAATTTTTGAGAGAAATCAGGCAACGCTAACACTGGTGTGGTTGTCATTGTATGCTTTAATTTCTCAAAAGCAATTTTTGCATCTGAGGACCATCCAAAAGAATCTTTTTTGAGCATGTGAGTTAAGGATGCCACAATTTGACCATAATTTTGCACAAATTTTCTATAATAGCCTATGAGCCCCAAAAACCAACGTAGAGCCTTAAGAATTTTGTGTTTAGGCCACTCAACCATGCAACGAATTTTTTCAAGATCCACCAAAACCCCTTCTCCAGAAATAATATGGCCAAGATAGTCCATGGATGACTTGAAAAAAGAACACTTGGTCTGTTTAGCATATAGTTGATTCTGGCGCAAGCATCATAACACTAATGACAAATGTTCAATATGATCTTGAACAGATTTGCTATAGACTAGTATATCATCAAAAAAAACTCCGTAAGTGAGGCCAAAATATATCATTCATCAAACTTTGAAAGGAAGCTCGTGCATTAGAAAGCCCAAAAGGCATGACAAGAAATTCATAGTGGCAATCATGAGTGCAAAATGCAGTCTTTGGAATATCTTGTGCATGAATACGAATTTGATGATAACCGGATTGGAGATCCAACTTAGAAAAAATCACAGCACCATGCAGCTCATCTAGAAGCTCATCAATAACTAGAATGGGAAAGCGATCCTTCACTATAATACTATTAACGGAGCAATAGTCCACGCACAACCCCCAAGAACCATCTTTTTTCCGCATTAGTAGCATTGGGGATGAATAAGGACTAACAATTGGTCTAATCAAGCCAACAACCAACATTTCCTTAACCAATCTATCGATCTCATCCTTTTGAAAATAAGAATAATAGTACAGTCGAGCATTGGTTGGAACACAACCTGGAATCAGTGGAATACGATGGTTTTGAGTGTGTGTAGGAGGAAGTCCCTTGGGGTCACCAAACACATCCATAAAATGGTCAAGAATATGGCCGATTTCAGGAGAAACCTCTTGCCACGTTACAGAAAAGTTTGCAGCCACCAATTGTAACAAGAATACTTAGTCAATTTGAAGCGTTTACTTGTGAGGTTCGCCTTGGTCAACAACAGTGTTGATTGAGGATCTATTACCTACTAACTTGAACTCTTGGCCATCCAAAATAAACTTCATAATTAATTTAAAAGAGTCCCAAGTAATGGCGCCTAAGGAATGAAGCCACGCAGCCCCCGGGACAATATCAGATCCACTCACCAGTAATAAGAAAAAATCAGATTTAAAGCAATACCCTTGCAAATTTATGCCAACTCTATTACACTTACGATGACTATGAAGAATACCTCTGTTGGCAATGGTCACGTGAATCGGAGCGGTGTTGTACACAAGATAACCACAACGCTGAGATAAAGAAGGCTATAAAAAATTATGGATTGATCCAGAGTTGACCAACACTATAATAGGCTTTAAATAGCCCGTAATTTGCATGTTTTGAGCTGATTGGTGCCTGAAATTGCATGAATGAAAATCTCCGGCCCGGAAGAGTCTTCCTCATTTGCCTTCTGGTCGTGTTTTGGTGCATCATCTCCTTCCATGAACAACAGTTGAGGACGCTTGCAACAATGGCCAGGCTTGAAAAGTTCATCATAATTAAAGCATAGCCCCTTTTCTCACCTCTCTTTTGATTCGAAACTAGTGAGACGCTTGATGGGCGGTAAGCTTGTGGATGCCGTGTAAGGAGAAATTGAAGTAGTTTGTACCTGGTTTCGATTAGGGCCTGATTTCTGTTGTGTTTTCTTGATGGAGTAGGCTTGTAAAGCACAAACAGACTTCTCTGGACAAATGGTCAAATCAAAGGCTTCTGACAAAGTCAAAGGACGCAAAAGACGGACCCCAACCTTGATGTCTTCACGTAGTCCCAAAATGAAACAACTAATCAAATAGGATTCAAGTAAATCATTTACCTGGTTTGCCAAAATTTCAAACTTCGTTCAGTGGTCTCGCACGGAACTAGTCTGCTGAAGCTTAGACAAAGAAGTTGTGGGGTCCATATCTTCTCGCGAACCAAAACATAAACACAAAGCCATAATGAATTGTGTCCAAGACATGACACCTATTGAACGAATCATCCAGCAATACCACGACGTAGCCACTCCGGTTAGGTGAATGGAAGACAATGGCACCATTTGTGCATCAGTGAGTCCATAGAGGTGTTGATATTGCTCAACTTGAAAAATCAAACCGTCTGGATTTTCACCATCAAATCTTGGAAAATCAATATGAATCGGCCGCCCTTGTAAAACCAGTCCATCTTGCAAATTCACTGGTTGCTGATCCGCCATTTGCGGTGCAACTGGAGCAAAAGGGGCTTGTCGGTCTGCATGAGGGGCCATCGCCAGTTGGTCTAAGGATGCCTAAATCACATGAATGGCGTCTCTTCTCTGATTTCCTAAACTCCATCCACAAGTCGATCCATCCATGACTCCATTTGCTTAACATGTTCAATCAATTCTTTCACAGTAACCATGATGATACTAGGAATTGAACTGCTCTGATACCAGATGATAGGATCCAAGAATCTTATGAGAAATTGATTAGACCTCCTAACTAGACTCCTTGTCAATTACAACTCTTGGCCCGATAAACTCCTAATCTGAGAGTAAATATTGAATACAATGGTGATACCATGTCATCACCAACCAATAATAAAACTCCAAATGAAAAAGATGAACCCTTTTTGAGCTTACATGGCAAAAGGGTGAGGAATTATTTGTTTATACGGTAGGTTAGTTATGAATTTTTGTGTGTTCATTTGCTTATTTATTTTAGTATTATTAGTTGGTGATACCACATCACTTGACCCATGTTATCACCGTTGTAATGAATATTTTATTTTCTCCTAATCTGACCCAATTATTCATAACTTCTATCCACACAACTATTTTAGGATAGAAATCCCAAACCTAAGAAAAGAATAAAAATCTAAAAAAATAATCATATGTATAGGTGTGCAGGTGGCAGCCCATAC